TTTCATTAATTTATAGTTTGATTAATTGAATTTATGCCTAAGTTGTCAAACTAAAATTTCAAAATTAATGAACGAAGACTAAGTGTTCTCTCCATCTCTCTCCATTTAACGACAAGTACCAATATTGAAAAATATCAACTTTAATACTCGGTTAACATAATTATTTTTATTAGCACATTTCAATATATTCAAATAGAATGAAATTAATTATAAATAAAAATAAATTAATTTTATTTTGTTTGATTTGATTTGATGTGATTTATGTACTGATTTGATAAAAAATACTTGAGTAAACTTGAAGTTGTTTCGTTACTGTCGCAGTTTTCATTCCATCTGTCCTGTCGCTTCAATCGGTTCTGTCGCTCCTGTCGGACTTGTCGCTCCCGTCGCTCCCGTCGGTCCTGTCATCTCTGCTCCTGTTGTTAATACATAATGTTCATTTCTGTAGTGATTTATTAAAAATCTATATATATTTTGTTCTTGTTTGAAGTTTGTTTGCAGTTTCTTGTTGTTGCTGCAAACGGAAACTGCATCATAAATAAAATATTTAAAATCTTGTTTTGCATCGATGAGCTTCACAACGAAGAATCAACTAAACGGAAGAGGAAAAAGTATGCTTAAATCAATTGCAGCCAACGCAGATACATTCATGCTGACATAGAACACTTCAGTAGTTTTTAGCAGCCAAAACCAATGCCGTTTCATGTGCATGATAAATGCAAAAGTGTCAGGCATTATCAGCTGAGACGGCAGCACTGGCAATCGTAGCAGCTCAGGAGCTACAATACCGGAAGCAGAAATATTCACACTCCTAAGCCAAACTATGACCAAAGAAAGGCAAGCACAAGAAGGTAGTCAGTAGCACACAAAACACAAAAAAAAACAAAAAAATAAAAAAAAAAATAAATAAATAAGATATATGCATTTTATATGGAAAAACAAGAAGAATATATAAACCATCTAGAGAAAAGTATAAACTAAAACATGCAAACTACTTAGGAAAAACTTTAAACTTCAAATTTATTTCGTTTTATGGAAGAAGTAATGGTGCGGCATGGCTTGAGCAAACAGTTTTTATAAACTAAACAAGCAAAAAATTGCAATATCCTGAAAATGTTGAAAGCATTTAAGTGGTGAAACTTCCTACTACCAGGTTTTTGTTGGTATTTACCGTATTTTGCCTACAGTTCCCTCACCATATTCGTACACCTCTCTCTCTCTAGTATAGATAGTATAGTAATATCTTCTCTTCTCTCCGCACGAATGTGCATATGTGCAAATTATGCATATGCCTAAATGTATCTGAAATATTGTATCTCTTATTTGCTTTTTGTTTTGGTTTGTGTTTACTTGATACTTGGTACTTGGTACATTGGCTTAAGGCATATGTGCATACAAATCGAGTAGGACTTCCTGCAGTCTTCAAGGGTTTCAGTGTGTTTATGCGCTTTCGTTTGTGCTGGTTTCCGTTGTTTATGCATTTGTGCTTTTTTGATTAAAAAGGGAACAAGATGCATGACAAGTTAAAGTAGCTCTTTCTAGTAGTTCTTCTACAGCACAATTTTTTTCTTATTCTTCATTATTTTTAAGTTTTTTGTGCTTTCTTTAAAATTGACAACAAAATCATTTGGTCATAATTTGCATGTGCTACTGACTTTAAATTTAAAATGCACATAAAAGTTAATTTCACTTTATTTATAGCTTATCAATTGCTCACAAAAATAAAATAAATATAAATTTAATCTCGGTTGCGTTAAATCAGGTTTTAGCGGCGATCCAAAGGGTCTAAATTAAGTTTGAGCGGCGATCCAAAGAATCTACTAGAATCTACTGTACATCACTCAAAGTTTCAAAAACAGCCATCCTATACCTTTAGGAAAGCGTAAAATGCTTTTCGGCGGGAGTGGGAGGATGGTTGTGGAGGTATCCGAGAGCATGAAAAACAAGAAGAAGGTTTGCGTTAAATTAAGTTTAAGCTGCGATCCATAGGATCTACTCAGCCATATAGGCCCATTGTGCTACTGTACATCACTCAAAAGTTCAAAAAGAACCATCTTAAACCTTTAGCAAAGCCTGAAATACTCTTAAGTGGGAGTGGGAGGTAGTGGAACTGTCCAAGAGTATGAAAAAAAGAAGCCCCTTAAATGTCTATTTTTAGTTAAATAAAGAAATTTAATATTGATACAAAGAATATATACAATTCATATTATGTGTGCTATCAGTATAACGAATTATAAAGTTTTCTGTTGTTCGTTCCTTTACCTACGATTTTTGTTTCTTTCCATTTTCTTCTTTTTTATGGCTTCCATTAGGTGAGGTTAAGCTAAGACTGCTGATACAACTTTCAAGACTTTTATCTGAAGATAGCTATTGTCCATTGTAATGCCCTCAAAGCTGTCTAGGATAGACGAGTTACGCGAGTCCTTATTTGACACCATTATCGCTAAAAATGAATCTATAAATTTACTACTGTATGCAATTGGACCTTAAAAGTCTTCGAAAGATAAGCCCACAGGAATTTTTTTGATTTATATGTTTTATTGTGAAGAACACAGATATCAAAAAAAATGTCAAAATCTCTCTAATAACATAGACAGTGTAAATGTTTAGTTCCTATAAATATAATACTAATGGCTGATGTAGAATGTAGATTTTTCATAACTTAAACAACTGTAGACAAAATTATATAAAAAATAGAAAATGCAATCTATTGAAACAATGGATTTGGTTAGAGTAATTTATCTTCCAAATTAAAATTAATGTGGTCAGCATGCCACGAAGTAATGAAGCAAAATACCTGAGCATACAACTCGATGAAAAATTGACATTAAGAATGCATATAGTCTTCAAACGTATCCTTGTGTTGAATACTCAGTAATCTGCACTGGTTAATATGTATAAGCTAGCAACTCTCCACCAACTGTAAATTGGTACTGGTGTGATGGCATATAATTGTGGGTCACTGCAGCAATATCAACTGTAGAAAACCTGCAAAGATTTTAATCAAAAACTTTAAGTATGATTACAAACAATCCTTACTTTGTCAGAAATACTTTGTCACAATCACTGCCATCTCGAAGTATAAGAAATCCCAGAAAAGTCGAAAAAATCCGATTATCTTTCATTTTGTGACTTCAACTGTTTTATTGATTTCTATATAATTAGACATCAGCTTAATAATATGTCATCACAGATGTTTGGATTGCCTGATATCTCACTTCATATTTTATTTACCTATGCATAAACAAAAGCAGTTTTAGACAAGTTTTTGAAATAACAAAAATTGAGATAAAATAAACAAAAATTAAAACAGCAAAAAGAAGAGGATTTCAATGTTCAACATAAATATTGTATATATATACATGTATATACATACAATTTTGAAGTCATATTCTTACACAAAAGCTATGCCATGGTTTATAATAAAAAAAATATCAGATAAACACTAAAAATTTGGGTTTTGTTTACAAAATAATTTAATTAAAAATTATGTTGTGATCTGCAAGTTGCACAACGAAGTCTTCTCTTCAATATTAAAAGCGTATCTGTGAAATCTCTCAGATCCTCAAACAGAATATGTTATTAATATAGGAAAAATACAGAATCAATAAACTTATTTAGTTACTGAGTCTAAAGCGAGTGGAACACAGCGACAATAGCAGTTCATTTGTGCTAGAAACCGACCCTAACTGAATAGAAGTTAGTCTTGTCTTCAAATGATGTTATCCCATAATATCATCCGTTTAGAATGGAAAATGTAAGTTTATGTTATATAAATGGACGTATCCAATTTTTTAAAATTATAGCGTCCAGCGATTTCAGCAAATGCCACTGTTATTTATTTTTTAAATTCATTTTTGTTTAATTTATTTATTTTTTGTATTAATTACTGAATTTTAATTTCATATTTTTCTTTAACACTTGTTTACTGAAAACAGAAAATAATAATAAACAGCAACCGCTTCAAAATAAGGTTACTACGTGATATTTATACACAACATTTTTCTTGAAATTAAAACCAGTTTAGTTCTGAGTGATATTATTTTCTAGAAAAATTTGAATTAATATCAAATAGCTTGAATAATCTATTTGAGATTGTTTTTTCAAGTGTTAGAATTACTTTTAATAACTCAATACTCAATATCAATATAACTAAACTAAAACATATGTTACAATTAATTATAAAACATATGGAGATAACACTCGATCTTACAAGCACAACCCCTTTAGCAAAGTATATGCAATAAATATTTTTTACCCTGAACTATGATATACCAATGACGTTAACCAAAATGTTTAGAATTTCTGACACAAAAATGCATTTATGCAATCGCAGAACACTTAAAAGTATAATTGCAAAAACCGCTGATATAAACATACTGAGAAACAGATGGTGGGTTATCTAGTTACAGAAAAAATTTTCCACATATGTTTTTTAAATAAAAAACTATGGATATTGTTGATATATTACATTTTGTAATTGTCTACGTGACGTCATTTTAAAGTTCATAATAATCTATTTTAGTTTTAATGTTAAAATATATACCAATTTGGAAACAAAATATTATTCAGTGTATTGTTTTTTACTATTCTTCAGTAAGGTTTTTTACCTAATAGATATCAACCCAAAATTTTTTTTAAAATTTAAAGTTTTGTGTTCATATGAATCTAAAATTTGAAGATTTGATTAAATTTTGGGTTCATATCTGGTCCAAGCAATAACGAATATAATTAAATTTCCATTTTTATGCTATTTGATATATTTGATTAAGACCCTTAAAGTATAGTTATATTCTAAATACAACTATGTGCGGAGGTATTTAATATACCTAGTTTAAATTTTCAATAATGAATAATTAAAGTTCCAAACTATAGGCTATACGCAATTATACTAATAATATAAATAACATTAATATTTCTGACAAAACATATGATTCAGTAAGTTAAGTGAAAATACTTAAAAATAAATTAAATAGCAAGAAATAAAGTAACTCCTAATTTCTTATTTATTTAGATTATTTTATTTGGAGCAATGCGCTCTGAAAACTTATTTAAATCATCATCAGAAGATTTACAAACATTATTTGATGTGTTTAAGGAAAAACAAAGTTTATGAATATAATATAGAAAGTGAAAGTTAAGTAAGCGAAAACATAATACTGATCGTAATCCTCATCGTCACTATCAGAATCCTCTTCCACGTCATCTTCATCACTGCTGCTATTCTCAATGTCAGCGTACATATCCTCCATGTTGTTTAAATACTCCGAGAAGCTATCATCAGAGTCCAACGGCTCATATGAGCTCTCGTCTTCGGATTCAATGACCGGTTCGAGTTGTGGTTCGGCTACAACTTCCAATGACTAAAAATATATTTATATAGAAATGTTACTTAATCTAGATATAAGAATATGAATATAAAAATTTATGAATCTATAAAAAAATCATTATAAATTTAAAAACGTTTTGAAAATCAAGAAAAAAGTTTTGATTTCTATAATAGCGCTAGATAACAAATATATACGGAAAAGGTTGCTTTTTGCTGGTTGTGTCCTAAATGCAATAAAAATGCTCACATTTGCCAGTTTTTTTGTAAACTAATTTTAATAAATCACAACAATAATAAATTTATTTTTATTGTTATATATCTAAATACTCACAAAAATCTCACATAACTTACCTTTTTGTTATCCATATTCATATTTCCACACCACTTTGTTCGCTTCAAAAACTTGCACTGAATTTAGCTCAATACAAAATGTCAAGAACTGCAATAAAAGTGATGCCAGACTATAAAAATAGCTATAAAAGTGCTAAAAAGAGAGTTTACAACGTCATAAAAGTTATTAACTATGGGTACACACTAAAAACAAGAAAACCCGAACCCGAAATGACGTTACACTAACAATCTTCAGTTATGAAATCGGGTCAAACCTTAAAATAGTGATCCTGACATTCTAACAAAGTATATAGTTTATAGAAATTAGAGTAGAAGTAACAAGAAACGTACCAATCAGTTGCTTCAATTAAAGCGTAACCTGCTCAGCAGTACGATATCGGTGCTGAAGAACCATTGCATACTAGAAAAACATGCTTTGAGACTGGATCTATCCTACAATGACTTTTGTCAGTATTGCGATCAACTAATGAGGAGGAAACTGTACTCCACCGCATGCGTTAATATCCAGCACAGACTAAAAAATATTCAAAATCTCTGAATGAGCTGTCATCTTGCAAAGTTAGGAACTTGGCCTAGTTAATAAACTCATCAGGTTGGTATATCTTAACTTAAAATGAAAGTGAAGATTCCTGCCTTTCAGCGTCATTCGTATGCTAGGCTTTATGATATTTTTGGGAATCCTTTTTGATTAGCGTATGAGTAACGTTTATTTGTGGTCTTTTTTTGAACTCAAGTGGGCTTTGAGCACAAGGACGTTACTTCAAAGCAATCTAACTGCAATATTAATGGTATATACACAAAAGTAGCTAACGGGACACATTTAAAGACGCTTTCATAACAGCTGATGAGCAAAACCAAAAACAAAAACGGGTTTATTAAATAGAAATTCTGCGGTTCAATATCAATTATTATATTATTTTCTAAAATAAATAAACAATTAAAAAAACTGGTCAATACAACAGGAATAGGTTTGATTTTATTTACCTTCTACCTAGCACATTTACTGGGTTCTATTATACCATTATCAATAAATGTGTTATAATATATTACTTTAGTGGGGAAGCACCGTATCATGTGTCTGTTATTGGAATTATTGGATGAAATATTTTTATTGTTAATTGTACTATTAAAGTTTTTTATGGGTGTACATATATAAAGTATGTTTGGTAAAATTTTGAAAATACTTAGGCTTTTCATAAAATCAATTCGTTTTTATTTCCAAAAAATGTTAACCACTATAATTTTCGAATCAATTTAAGTAAGGAATTTACAAGTACCAAATTAAAACGCAAGATATTAAGACTTAAGATATTTAAATCAATCCATTTTTATACATTGAAATTTTTTTAACAGAGCGATTTCTAAATAGACTTAACTTTAGCATCTAATAGGAATCGAATGATTATATTTATATATAGACGTATATTTATTATAGCATTTCCGATTGGTAAATCAGAATTTAATCTGGTTAAATATTACTGCACATTTGTGATTATTGTTATTGTTATACTATATTGAGATACATCTCAATTTTGCAAAAATCTTAATTTCATCTTTGTTTCAGCGAAATTAAGTTGCTTTTTCCATACAAAATTCAGTTTTGAGGTTAGAACGAAATTAAGGAAAATTCCCTTAATTTTGTTGAAACGAAGGCAGGAATTAAGGGATATTTCGAATGCAACTATGCGTAAGATAAATTTTAAGCAAAAAATAAAGTTGAGATAATGAAGAAGTGACTTTTTTTAACAAATAAATGCCAGTGATAGTTGACTTTAAAAAAACCGGGAAGATATTATAAAAGTAGTGCATATTTTTAAATTGAATAAAGAGAAAAAACTGTAACTGTTATTAATTTAAAATAGATTGAAAAATAATAATTCACATTCCTGAAATCCACTAAAGCTAATAAAACTACTGAATGCCATCCTTTATAGTTATAATAATCTACTTTTTAAAACTTCCCAGATACAAATGGTGTGTGGAACTTGTAATTTTTAACATTCGATTTGTTAAGAAAAAACATATGATTTGCTTAATTTGGGGCAGTATGAACACTTTCGAAATTAACTTAATTTCATTGTTACGAAGTTAAGGAATTTGGCTGTCTGAACATGGTATTATTCCTATTTTCAGACATAATTTTTTTTTATGTCACCCTTTAGTGTTTATCAAAAAGAGAAATTAAAAATCTGGCAGCACTTAATTCTTAAGAAAAAGTTTTAATAGCGTTTATCATTGTATTGAAAACGCTATAAGGCAGACATAAGCACTTTCGGTTGCAATTGGCTAGTTGACGAGGATTTTAAGGTGTGAAATAAAAAATCGCTGGACTATATATATTTAAATTCAAAAAAGGTAATAAAATTTAGTAATATATTTATAATTTTTCATTTCATTCCTAAACGTGAGCCATATCATTGTGTATTGCAAAAGTTGAAGATTTCCATATACGACAATTTATGTTAATCATATTATGTGAACGCCTAAAGCCTAAAGTGTTTCGAAGTGTCTGTCACTCCTAACATTGGAATTGGTTATTTATTTCTAGATTGATTAAAATGCTGTGAATTGGTGAGATACGTAGTGATACAGAATTAGAACTGTAGACACAGTTCTGGTCTGTCAGGTTAAGGTTTCAAGGTTACTTGAAAGGTTACTTACGCGTATAGCATAGTGGACGCACATACCGCTAGGCTTTCCAGACATCGGGCTTTGTAATCACAAATTTTTATTTTGTTTACATTAAAACAAAAAGTAATAACAGGCAGAAGTAAGCGGCAAATAGTATATGGGATTTTCTCATTGATTTCACAAGCGTCGTTAAAACTGAGCGTCATGTGTAATTGTTGTTGTATTTTATCTGAAATTTTAAATGTAGTTAATCTCAATAAGATGCTAATTGCTATTATGTGATTATTTATATTTCAAAATAAATTTTTTGCTTACGTCAACCATAAAACGGATAACGATTTTGATAATAAAAAAAATATCTTTTTTATATAATAATTGTCTGTTATAATGAACAGAGCAATCCTAAGGAAGACACGATTTGGTAATCATAAAAATTCAATATTGGAAAGGTGATAATATATACTAAGAATTATTACTGCAGTTTTCCATGTGATTACTTCTAATTTAATAGAAGAGTATCAGTACGTCAATTGAGTGTTTAACTGAAAAGCTTGATTTATTTATGCTTGATTGGAGGTATGTCTATTTACTAGCAGCCTATTAAATATTTTGCTAAAAACTATAGTAATTAAATTAATAATGAATCATGTAGATTGTTATATCTTTACGGATAAAATTCGTTCTCTACTCTGAAGCAAGTAGTGTAGGCTACAGTTTGATGGAGAAAAGTATGTCTTTGAAATAACCCAAACTATCAAGCCGATCAAGTCTAGAAGTAAATGTAGAAAGCAAAGATAGAACTGATTGTTGGGGAATTTAGCATTGGAATGAAATTTGTTTATAGACTGCGATGTTCCTATGATTGCATATATAAATAAATATAAAACTTGGTATGTATTAAGCAAGTTTTATTTTTTTATGACATGAAATATGCAGTTAGAAGACAAATACATTTGATGATTTCCAATTACATTTATAGTTTTATATTGTTATGCTCTCTAGTTTGGCACAGTCCAACATAAATCTACTGTATGACTTAGAGATAATGTGCCACAAAAGCTGTAATCTCATAATGGGTCCACTTTGTAAGCATAAAAGTTGCAGTTACTGAATAAGTGATGTTAGTTAAGTGTTAAATTTCTCTGCGCTATACTCTGTCATAGTCCGGCAACCAACAGAGCAATGTTAGATTGCTCTGCACTATACTCTGTCGTTGTGCGATAACCAAAATACACCGTTATCCATACTATGTTAGAATCTCGCTTTTTCAAGTACCTGCCCGGTTCGCTGGTATACGAAGTTTACTCAGCTTAAAACAGCTAGTGTGTCCCAAATACTGTGCCCCACGCATTTTACGAGACAGGCTTCCATTTATAACCACTAACTATTTACTATACACTATGGTTGAGATATATTCTCAAAATATTGCGTTTATTTCTATATTTTTTTATTTAAAATATTGTAAGTAAATTTTCTAAAAGTATTTCTAATAATCATTTATTAGTTTTCTCTTACATATGGTAAGTTTTAATGCAATGTCAGTGCTCATGTATGAATAAATTTTACCCGTAGGCGTCATAGTATTTCTGACAAAGCTTAAGTACTCGTTATTTTAACCACAAATAGCATAATATTTTTTAACATAAATATATTTATAATTTAAATAAATAAGAAAATAAATATTATTTAATATTAAAATACGAAGTTGTTCATATATATTTTGCATAGAATCATATATTTATTTCTAAATTGATTTTCTTCTTGCATTCTTTTATTCCTTTTCGGAATTTTCTTTGAGGATTGCAGTTTTAATTTAAATTTTATTACTCAAACACCTGCAAGGCTTCCAACTTAGAAGTTATGACTGTTAGTATTTTTACATATTTGCAATATATGTGCATTTTATTGCATATATCATATATACGTATATGTTTTATGCAGGCGCGTAACCAGAAAGGCAATTGAAGGGCTACAGTCCCCCCAAATTATTCAGTCCCCCAAATTACATTTGGACACATATATATTCACTAATACATTATTAATAGATTATCACTGCTTAATAAAAAACAATTTTATTTTAATTTGTTAAAATTTTTGTAAAGTACGCCCTAAAAGTAAATACCTGGCTACGGATCTAACTGTATGGACATGAATGTAACACTTTGGAACTATAAAAAATTAAAAGAAATTTTATAAATTTTATTATGAATTCTGTCACTTTATACTCTAGTATATATGAAACTGTAATTTTTCATATAAAAGTAGTCAAATATAAAATATGTAAATTTTTATATAAAACATATATACGTGTGTGTAAATGTGCATGTTTAAATAAAAAATCCTAAAGCTAAAATCTTAATAGAAAGTTAAATTGTCTACTTCTCCTGCTGCAGTTTCATCCATGCACACTTAAAAACATAAATAAAAGAAAAATATTTTGAAAAAAAACCACTGCTTAAATTTATGCATTTGAACATAAATCCTTGAGAGCTTACAGTTGGCGTCTTACAAGGATGCAAACTAAGAAATTATGTAGTGCAATAAGGTAGCTAACTAGCAAGCCTATAAGTATGTGTATCTTATAGATATAAACATATATATATACATATATACACATATATATACATATATATATATAGGTGTATGCGGAAGTTTGTATATTTTAACTACTCGTATATTTTGTGCTATGTAAATTAGTCTTTAGATGATGAAGTTTGTTGTTGGCAGTGCCAACTTTGGCGCCTTATGCTTGCTTTCAGCATACTCAAGAATTCTGACATTTCTTCAGCGACAAATTTAAGCTCTTAATCGTGACAGCAATGCCAACACTAACAAAACTGAAGTGCGGTCCGTATACCTTGACTGGCATAAAACTGCTTTATTGTCTACCTACGGCAAGTTAGAGATTTTCAAATGTAACCATAAAGATGTGAACATAAATTTAAATTAAAATTTTTCCAAATACTCCTCGTATAGACGAAGCAAGAAAGCGCAATTATAATAAAAGAAAAACAAAAAAAAAAAAGAATAGCTTAACTCAGTGGGAAAAGGTATAAGGGAATTACCGAAATCTGTGATTAAATAGAAAGACAGTTCATTTCTAAATTTTAGTTAATTAATAGATTAGTATAGTTCAGTGTCAATTTTAATTTTAACTGAATTACAAAGAGACAAGACTAAGAGACACTAATAGACAAAAAACATTAGATCCTTTTGGAGTAACTTATTAAATCTCAAATTAAGCACTGAAAAGTGTGATGTAGTGCACATTACATTACTACATAGTTTTAGAACTATATTGAATGGACTTACCACGATATAGTCATCTATAGCTCGGCCATATTTTATATTATATTATATATATATATATATATATAATATATATATATATATGTTCAAATATACACGATCACATTCACGAACTTTACAAAAGCGAAATCTCTAGTAAAAATCATATGATCTTGGTGACCAATCCACGTTAGCAAAACGTTATTCTTCGTGCACCAAATTAGTATCGCGCAAAGATACGCTAATTTTAATGAAATATGGTTCATGTAATTATTCTCAACAAACTCAATGCGTCAGTTGTGGCATAACCAAACAAACAGCCGATCCGTTTTACCTTGGTCCGCTATTCCATAAGGTAGAAGTAATCAATTGATTGTTAAGGGGACTATCAATTTAAACCTTAAACCCTGAACTAAATATATGATATCTTGAATGATAGTTAAGGATAACTAAATACGTCAGTTGTGGCATAAACAAACAGTCGATCCGTTCTACATTGGTCCGCTATTCCATAAGGTAAAAGTAATCAATTGATTGTTAATAGGACTATCAATTCAAACTTTAAACCCTGAACTAAACATATGATGTCTTGAATGATAGTTAAGGATGCATAAGTTGTGTCGTAAGCAATCCACTAAACCTAGCTCTAGCTAATAGAAAACCATTGTCCGTTTTGAAGTTTGGTTTGGGCGTAGTTGTAATACTCGTAGAAAGCATAAATCAACTGATAGAGATACTGAGTAATTGCATTAAATTCCTAAATACGATGTAAGTACTAAATACGGAGTATTTAGTGATGGGATTGAACTTGTGATTAATTTATATTGTTTTGTATATCTTATACTCTGTCATAACTTATCGCTCTTTTATGTACTACCGTCTAAATTCTTTACGTTCATTTATTACACATTAATAAATATAAAATAATTATAATTTGTTACATATTAAATAATTAATAATGGTATCGAGTAATGGTATCGATTTTAATTATTTATAAGTATTTTTTTGCGAGGTTTTTACTAAAAATTTAGCTATAATTTTTCTTTAAATTACCAAATAAAATTGATGAAAATGATCTGAAGTGACAAATAAAAATCAGTTGTGATATTTAGTTCGAAATTATTAATTTTATTTAATAAAATATAAAATTATTAAACAAAAACGTATGATAGCAAAGCAGAAGTGCTTTTTCACATTCAACTAAGTTAAAATAGAATTGAAATGTTCTTTAAAATGCAGCAAGTAGCGAATCAGAAAATAAACTTCAATTTTTAACCACAAAGAGTTCTGAATGCGTAGAAAATCATATTCAAGATACTTTTTATACATATAAAGTATGATTCACTTAATGCGATTTATTTCTTGTTGACGCAACTCTAAAGTTCATAAAAAAGCATTAGAGAATCAACGGGAGCTAAGGTAAAGAGAGCAGTCGCTGTAACTAAAATCAAATCATTGAACTAACAGCTTACGTTACTTATGCTATGAGCTTACGTTAACGTAAACAATATTACGGAATACAGTAGCTAGTAGTTATAAAAACAACAATGATGACGAAGACAACAACAAGATTTACAACGTCATTCGAAGCATTTCGGAGCTTTAAAATGTAAATAAACGTAAATTCAGTCAAAAGGAACTCAAAAGTTCAACTGAATATGATGGCCACAATGTGAGGCTAGCATGAATATTTTAGTGGATCCTTGTATTCATCAAGTTCATCATAGTGCACTGTAAAGCAATTTCATCTTAAATGGCAAGGAACCGTTAAAGTAGCAACAACAACAACAAGAATTTAAACAAATTCAAGTACAAAGACACTAAAGTAGTGAAGCTCTTTCAGTGGCAACATAGACCAGAGCAATGTAGTCATGACTTAGCTCAATTGCGTCTAGCATTAGACAATTCCTATTAAATTCCATTTTAGTATAAATTTATTCCATATTTTTTTTTGTTAAATAAATTTTAACAACTGCGTCTTTTGGTAATTCTTTATTTAGTGATTAACCTTTTCTTGACTTATTAATTTGTTAATCAGTATTGAAATATTAAAATATAGGGTTAACTATTTTATGATCCTGTTTTAGCTGCAATAGCACTGTTTCAGTGACATTTGAGAAACAGAACTACCCTCCAAGCTATCAAATCATATACTTAGTTTATCATAGGTTTGCCATTTTGGAATATGTATAGTTTAACAACCGCTGAACGTGTTGAGATAAAATTTGGTGATTTTTCGCATTGAATTGATATGATATACAGTAAAAACACACAAGTAACTGCCGAATTACCATTACAGCATAGAATTCTCTGTAATTACAAAAGTCTCAGATATATATCACATAAACAATAGATTAAAAAACACCGAGTAACAGATCTCTTATGGTAATATAGATGACACGTTTTTCAAATTTTAAATTCCGAATACTTTTTTACGAATAAGTACAGAATGAACATTAATTTAACAATAACATCACAAATTTTATAAAACAAAAATATGACATAAACCAATCAGTCACTGAAACTGAAGTCAATTATATATATATAATAAATACAGTAATCCCACCTACAACGCGATTTCAATTCCCCATATAACACGGGCATTCTCCGATATAACGCGGGGATTTGTACCGTTCATAATTAGCTTCGCGAGCCTTTGCACATGTGTATACGGGAACACCACTATAATGCGGAACCAATCTACCGCGTTATAGGGGGGATTACTGTATATTTAAATATATTAAATAAATATAAATTTTATTTTGTTTTTTTTATTTAATATAAATATAAATTTAAATTTCTAAGGATTTTAATAAAAATTTTTTATTTTTCACTTATATTTTAAAGCGTCTAGAGTAAACTGCATCCCACTTTCGTTTTCTAAATTGTGAATATGTGTTTAAATGTTATGGATTTTTTCAAAAACTTTTACGAGATCCTAACTAAAGATATTAAGGAACCTGAACGTAACTGGTGTGATTTTATACTAGAAGATGAACCCTTTACATTTTTGGCGTTCACTCTCGTTATAACCATCACATTGTCAACAATCTATTCCCTGTATATTAAATATAAAAAATCTGTAAGTTCAGTAAAAATTGCCAACCATGACATATAAATAGTTATAATCTATTTCTAGAAGCTGCAACGTATAACAGTTGAGATAGCACTGCAGACTTCTGCTGATGAGAATATTGGTGAAAATATTGGTGAAAATGTTGGAGATCGTAATATCGTACTTAATGGTAACCGTGGGACTCTTGAGGCAGATACTGTTCGTACCAATCAAACAAGAGCAAATTCTATAATTAACCAGGTATTTGATCCTTCTCCTATCGCTTCTGTTAGTCTGAACAGCAATGTTTTGAACTACACTGATCGTGTCAATGCTAGTGATCATGATGCCAATTTAAGTGGTAGTAGCGCAGTTCAAGGGGTTAGTACTGTTGATGGAATTCAAAGCAATGCAAATAAGAGCAGCGGATATAAGTTCTATTTCAACGCTATAACATTAATGTTGATGTTATAAAAAGGCAGAATTGATGACAACTTCTACGATTATAATAGACATTAAAATTTGATAATAGAAAATGTTGCCTTTAAATAAAAGACAAAATATATGGTCTTTATATATTATTATTGCATTCATATGAATTACATACCTTGATTAGTAATGTTCATTACTTTTACATAAGCTTAACTATATAAAATATAATTTAATAGAACTTTAATTATTAGTGTTTCACTAGAACTCTTATAAAAAGTATTTAAGATATTCTTTGGATTCGAAATTTAGTATACGTAATACAGTCACTGACTATATTCGACACGTTTACATTTGGCCATTTTACTATGACTAACAAGGGAATTTTAAATACAAAAGGAATACGGGTTAGATATCTTTGCGCCAAAAAAATCATACGTTCATCGAGTCTTCATTTCGAGTGGAGTATAGAACTCAACATGAGTGGAGATGGCCACTGGGTTACTGTCTGTAGTTAACACAGTCGTTGAGGTCTTTCCTTTTATACTGGTTCAGTTTGTGCCGGGCTTATACCGATTATACAGATTAGCAACGCCTAGGTGATTCCCACAAGTTTGTCATATTTATCAGTTGAAGTAAGTCGTAAATTTATCACTTGAAGTAAGTAAATTGTGTAACCCAATCAAATTCACTTGCAGAAATTTATTAAATTCACTTAACGTGTAGATAAATGAGACGAAGGAGACATTGTTTGCGGTATATTGGTTGGATCATTTAGAGAATTCGTTTGATGAAATCGATTGCGCGTTTAAAAGCTCTATATGACATTATCACAAGACATATTACAAGTCTAAATGCTGCATTATTTGTAGCTTGGGGAAGTGCTAACAAGCGTTTGTAGTACGTTGATTTTTAAATCAATAAAGCGAAGGGCAATCATTTCGTAATACATTATTGGGAAATATCCACTAAAAACAAATTTTTTGCATATTTTATTTCATAGCGAAATTGTAAACTTTTTTGTAGAAAATTGCATCCGAGAATTTTCAGTTTATATTAATTATTCTGTATTAATTTCTAATACAACTTTCGTTTTCGAAAAAAAATTGTACTAAGAATCAACTAAACTGTCACCTACCAAACAATCATTTAAAATTTGTCGCAGTTTAAATGAATAGTAATCACCAAATATTTACTATCCAATTCAATATGTGTTGAAACATGTAGTTTCAAGAAAAAGTTTCGCAAATTAGATAGACTAATACCACATGCACACTGTGACATTTTTGCTATTTGCTCGTTAAGGCCGCTAATGAGAGAAATTTAACATACAAAGAACTTTCATATAATTGAGCTCATTATAAATAAATCAACTGATTTAAGTTAAAAAATGTTGATTGCAACCCTTAAAAATAAATTTCCCACAAAGGAAATTTTCATATAAATGAGCTCATTATAAACAAATAAAGTAATTTATATTTCCTGCAAGGAAAATAACCAAAATTTGAAATATTTGTCATATGTTTTATATATAATATGTTAACAAACAAGCTATTTTACATGCATAAATCAGCTTATGCCAATCGAAATTACCAAATATTAATGTCATTAACACAAGTGGTTTTAGCTGCAGTGGAAACATGATATAACGCCAGAAATACTCACAGAAACTATACATCTATATTAAAAAATTAATATCTCTTCTTTTGAAATTAAGCATTTATTTTGATGATTGTTAATGCAAATATATTTAAAAACATGCTTTGCACACACGTTTATTTCAAGTTTGAATCAATTGATCAATTGTTCATTTGAAAACTAATGAATTTTGTATTGCATAATATAATAGCATTATATTATAAAAGATATCCAACCCATTATTAGACAAGTGACTCCCATTGGTGCAATACTTCTGCAGATCCTCTTGCCAGTTAAGCCTTGATAGTAGTGTACTCCACAAAACATTACATTTCCTACTACCATTAGTGCAGTAGTCTTAAAAGATCAAATATTTGTTTAAATAATTTTGAAGCAATAATAAATTTAAATACACATAAAATAAGCGTTTTACTTGTACTTACTACTTTAGGATACTTCGCCAACGGGACAAAAAAAAGTGCTAATGTATGAAAAGCATGAAATTGGTTTGCTGTACCGAAACTATAACTATCATTCCCCTTCCCAGTATTGTTATGGTGGCAACGTGAACCAATTGCACCAATAAGAACAGCAGCTGCGCCACTAACACATGCAATTCTAATCATGTTAACGTCATTATACATAAGACTACGGATTGTTGGTGAAGTGGTTAGAACTGGATTGTCTAGAGCTTGGGTGGTGTTCGTAACAGCCGTCTTTATTGCGGAACCCTATGTGTTGTAAAGATAAATATTATTTACAAATTTTTTATGGATGGTCGACTTACTTGCTGACCCCACAAGAATTCACCAATTTTTTTACTAACTGGATTTCCAACTATCGCATAACTTATTATGCTAGTAAGCATCTTTAAAATTTTTGTCACCAAATTATAAAAATATAGTATGTGCAAAATGTAAACTTTGAATATATTTTAAAAATATATTTTATTGAAATGTGATTGAAAATATATTAATTTAAACATTTCATAAAACGACGTACTCGAAATATTTCTTATTTACTTTACTTGAAACGTTTTAAGACAGAGTTGTTATAAAAAAAAAACCGTTGTTAAGTCTTTTCCGAGTTAGCATCTGTGCACTTTTACTCTTTGATAGCTGCGGGGTTTCTGCAGAGTCCCACCCATCTCACTGATTAATTTGTGTATTCCTTATAAGTTTCGTGATATATTATAAGAGGTCAATATATTATTTCGTGCGGATAAGCATGTTGATAGCGATCTGAATAACAGTTTGTTTAATAACAGCGCTAGATTGGATCCAAGAATTTTCATATAAAGTTATAACTTTTCACTATACATTTTATGTAGTTAAGGTATGTTAATAAGGCCAACTATAAAGTAATCATATTCATTCCTTAGCGTGCATTCAGATATAGTGCCAATCCAATCATATGAGATTAGCTTAGCAATTTCTTTTTTGTCAGTTTAGTACTGAACTTTTTCACACATTATTCCTTGGACTGTTGGTGCTTCTACGTTTATATATTTATATACATATAAAACCCAGTATTTATTATATCCACAGGGACTAAAGCTAATTATTGATTTAGATATAATGCTTAAAACACATTATAGTAGTGCACAATTTGGAGCTTTTAATTTGAGATCTTGAGACTATCGTTTGAAGATAAATATGGAGTGGTTTTTACCATAGTAAGCTGCAAGGTTTTTTTCGAATCTTGAAGGAATTTTAATCACAGTGAGATAAAAAAATTTTTTCTGAATCTTGGAGCAAATTTAACAATTGTGAGAGAAAAATTTTTTTTTTGTATTTTTGCGTAATTTCAACCACTGTAAGATATAAAAAATTTTTCTGAATCTTGAAGCAGTTTTAACTACTGTAAGATATAAAAATTTTTTTTAAATTATAGAGCAATTTTAACCACTATGAGACTCAGTGATAGCGGCTTTACGTCGAAGTAGACTTTAGATAACTTGTAGTTTATAATCAATTAGATTTCGACCATAAGTCCTAGTAGAGTTCAAACAATTTAAGCCCGTCAGATCATAAACAAAGTTAACAAAGATATAGAATTGACAAGATATGGTGGTTACCACACTATATCTTATAATTCGATATAGTTATAGTCATAACTGTTTAAAAATTTTACGAAGTAAAATGAAGTAATGTTCACACTGTAATTCTTGAGAAATTAGTTTCATATATAAAAATTTCTCAATATAAGATGGTAATCGATAATAGGCTAATAAAAGCATTACGCGAAACATATTTGAGAGTGTTACTCTCCGCTCCGGGGATATGAAAGAAAAATCTCATAAAACGTCTTGATTATGCTAACATAGAAATGAACATAATCACTCCGCAGGCAGTCATTAAGAAGCGCGTAATACAAGAGCGCTACAGGATATGCGATATCAGGACGAAATACGGGATGAACGCTAATATAAGTGCAAACAAATATAAAAATGACTGCCACAACTGCTAGCAGTGACAATGGCAGCTGTAATAATGTAAGCGAAACAATTTCAAATAATAAAAGCAACTTTAATAATAATGACGAAGGAGCGCAGCACAGAAACTTAACTCAACTCAACACAACACTGTAAACATTTTAAGTATACCAGAGATGATACTGCAAATCCCCACAGGACTCTATGCTATCCCATTTATGGGCAAAATAATAAGTGCCAAGTGTCGTGTGCCATGCAATTCTCCCAAGTGCTTAAGCGTTGTGTGTTAAGTGCGGAGCATTGTGCAAACCGTTGTTACCAGAGGAACAGAATAGTGGGTCGGGGCGAAAAAGTTAAAATTTCTAGTTCTCATTCACACACAAACAAAAAGACGATCCTACCTACTCTCGTACTTAGTTATATACTTGCATATAACACAATAGCAGTATTTTTAATGGGTTTTACAGCATTTTATTTTTTGTTCAGATACTATTTTTTTTTGTTCAGATACTTTTTTTCTTATTGTTTTCTGCTTTTTTTTTTTTCATTTTATTTAGTTTGCTTTCAATTTAAGCGCTGCTGGTTATATTTACATTCGCTGCTATTGTGAGAATTTGTTAGAATATTGTTAGGTATACGACCGGCAGTGCTAAAAATTAAAGCATTAAACGACAATGCTAAGTACACTGAACAATAGTAACCAAAAGGACTAAAACAACAATGATGACAATGGCGTTGACTACAACGACAGCAACGACAGCAACGACAGCAATAACAGCAACGACAACAATGAGAGCAATAACAGCAACAATAATAACAACGACCAAGATGACGATGACGTCGACGTCCTTCCCAACGATGCCTACGAGTATTCTCCAAGGAAAAGATTTATGCGATTTGTGATAAGAAAGCATTTTGTCTTTTCCCAGCATAATTGTTTAGAGATATTTGCTCCTTTTTATGAATTAAATTCATTTTGTTATTGTTTAAATGCTGAATTCAATTAAATACAACAATAACAACAAAAACACACCCTACAATGGAATGGGAATGGGAATGCGAATGTGAAACTAACAACTAAACAAGTGTTTCGTTAATTATATTATCGCAATTAAGCGCTACGTTTCAGCGCAGGCATAAATGGCAAGGACTCTTGTATTTGAATCCTTTGAGCTATGAGTGGAGTTATAGTGTGTAATTGAAGTCAAGGAGAGACAGTAGACTTTATCTGAAGGTATTATTATTAAGTTAAATTAGTTTGTAAAAGATTATTTATTTAAATTTTGAAAGATGCATTTTGGTGTTCAGATCTTTTTGTGATAACATTTATTTGACACAGCATATACTTACTAACTTAAATGGCCATAAAACAGTGTAACTCTCCAGGCTTTTCTGCTGAGTGCGTGCATTCCTTAGTTTCGTACATAAAGAGCGGTAAGTATATCCTTACAGTGATCACTTCATCACAGTCCCGATCTACCTCACATCATTATCATCTTTAAAAATAATTGTTATGGTTCTTTAACGATAAATAAGTAACTTATTGTATTAGCTAAAATTGAATCCAAAACGAGCATCAAACAACACAAGACCTCTCTTTGCTGGGTTCGTGGACATAGCAGTATTGAAGGGAATGAACTAGCAGATAAGTTGGCCAGAAGAGGTTCTGAACTGCATACAAGAGAGGCTGACCTGAACTGTTTATGATAATTGAAGAAATCACCAATAAGGTGACTAACAATTTATAGATTAACCGCGAAGATAGTGAGGTCGCTAGAACTTTATGGCCTAGTACTAACGGGGCACTGTGCTATTACGCTTATGCTCCAACCGTGCCGAGTTCCAATAAGTGGATTATGCAGGAGTTGCCAAGATGAAAAGGAGGTAGAATCTATAAACCACTTCCTGTGTATCTGTCCAGGATTGCAGACAAGGTGATTTCAATGTCTTGGACATCGCTTTTTCAATGGGTTGGAAGAGACGATGAAAGCAAACTTATCGGATGTCCTCAACTTCATTTGGAAAACTATATGGCTATATACTGGCCATTTTCTTCTGAAACTGATTTGCATATGCTTTTGTATGAAAACTCGTGCATTATAGATCTATGGACATTGACAATGGTTCACAAGGGTTGATAATTTCAACCAATAACAGTTTTAACTGCAATCTATATAACTTAATTACTTTACTGTCACTTCAGCTATCATTTGATTTTTGTTAGAACAAATTTCTGATGAACACCTAGCTTTAATAGGTAACTTACCGATAAAAAACATTTCTTTTTCAGGTTTTTTTATACAATATATTATACGTAAAAGATCGTTATTAGAGTGTTAAACATAATATAAGAAAAAAAATCAATAACTAAAAATTTTAAATGAGATGATTAATGGTCATAAAAAAACTTAACTAAGAACCATAAAAAGTAAGACTTATTGGTCCCTAGCGATATTAAATAGAGTGTTTAAAGCTTTACTTTCTACACAGTGTAACCAAACACTTTTTAAAAAAATTACGGGAATACATGCTGAGGTATATGTGTTAAATGATACAATCTGGTACATAACTGGTGTATATATAGCTTATATGGACTTATATGGACACCGCTTTGAGATATTAGGTATATTATTTGAACATTCCGTGGGTGTAGGGTATAATAGATAAAAATTTATATAAAAAAAATTGTACATAAAACTTTTTTATTGTAAGAAAATGTTAAAAATTAAAAGATTTTTTTGAATAAATATATTATAATTTTTAATTTTTTCTTGCTTTTTTAACAACTTTGCTGCATACACAATGCTTGCAAGATGCTTTTGTAAGAAGTGCATTTTTAATTGCCCAACTTGGCGTTATTGTGTGCGGTGAACTTATTTGCCTACGCGGTCGAGTACATACGATAACCACCTTGGCGTCTGCGCATCATTTTCGTTCTGAAATTTTACATTGGAACCTTAAACATACATATATGAATTGGGAAGTATATGTCTATATATATATACACACACACACATAATCACAAATGCACATATTGACATTTGCTTAAGCGTTGCCAATTAAAAAATGTCGAAACACCGTGAAACGTGAATATGTGAAAATGCATTGCCACTTGACTAAAACAATTGAAACTCACTTTCATATGCCGAGCGCCCGGATTCACACGGCCGCTATTGTCATTAGGAAGCAAGCCGTGAAGAACTTCTGAAATGACAGTCAGTAGCAGCAAACCTTGCGACCATGAAAATTGTTAAATATTTTTTACACAACTCGGATTCATTTGTGAAAACACACAGACACAGAAGTACACAATTACACAGATGTTTGGAAGTACGTCCTGTGTTATACCTCATAATGTTCTGTAAAGTCAATTGCCTAGGTTGAGTCTTAATAAACATAACTTTATGGTTGGAATGTTTCAGTTTTTTAAGGTCATGTTAATTCTGACACAAAACATCAACTCAGCAACTGAAAAACATTTCACAA